CACATTAGGCCTACAGCATTTCATTTAGACCACACTTCGGCCTTTTCATAAATACTGCACGAAAAATAAAACCGACGAGACAAACTTGAGGACAAGACAAATTATAAATTATAGAGAAACTCACATCAAAAGTTAAATGTTGTCCTGTGTATTCTCTTATGACTGAGCTGTTTATTACACGAATGAGGACATACGCTTCAAAAAACACTTCTACAGGACTAGGCATTAAAGCTGGGAATATTTTACCATCTTTTTCAACAGTTAGTTTAAAATAGGCGTTTAATCCCTGGAATATAAAAATCCGAATGAAATTGTTTTATTTAAGTGTTTGAAAGATGTGGAAAGAGTCGGAAAAGAATTTATATATATAATGATTAATAGCATGTCCCGGAACATTTAATTTAATTTTCCGACATTTTCATGATACATATATAAAATCACGTAGCCTACACACGGAACCCCTTAAGTGCACGATTCCACTCTTATAATAATTATGCACGAAAAAATATTATATAAGAATGGAGTCGTGCACTTAAGGGGCCCCGTGCGTATAAGTTTTCAGTTGTGGGTGGCTTGTTTAATGCGAATTTTAAACTTATGATAAATTGCATGGTTATCGGCAAACTTTGAACGGGTGGGTTAAAAACCCTTTACTACCGATAGATAATTAGTCTCGCTTACCAAATCTACCACCCTGCAGTAGAGGTTAAGAGCAATGTCCTATTCAGCACGAATCAATCCGACAGAAAATTTTGAAAAATAGATTCGATTTGGTGCAATGGTAGGGACATTCTGGTCTTGGGCGAGTAATACGAGTTAATACAATAGAAGTATTGAACATTTTGTTGTATTAGAATTCAAACATTAATCGGGTACGAATCCCTGTCAGTCCTTTTTAAAGGCAAATAGTCACTAATGAAAGGCTATATTATTCTCACGAGAAACCTTTAGCCAAAAGTAGATTACGAACCCTATAGTTAATCATATCAATTCTGAATCTTGTATTCAGTCGAAAATGTGAGGGATCCAGGCAAATGTGGGAGGCCGAATGCATGAACTGTAATTGAGAGGAAGGGACCCCAAAAACCCAAGGTCTTAAAGGAGAACTGTAGTCTGTGGCAGATATTTGGAAGGATTTCAGAATATATCCACCAATTTGTTAACAGCTACGGGAATAATTATATTGTGTATAACCTAGACTTTTTTTAAAATTCATTTCAATGAACACGCCATTAATTAACGAATCAAAAAGCCGGATATACCAGGGTCAAGGGATAATGGCGATAAATGCCCCCCCCCCCCAACCCCCCCCCCCAAAACCCCCCAAAAAACCAAAAAAAAAAACCCAAAAAAGAAACCTATTGGTTCATTGATCAATTCATAATGATAAAACTACATTTACCTGATCTAGATCAAAAACTCTCATATACCCTTCGCCATCAAAATATATTAGCGAATCAGATGGAGTATCTTCTCTGACGTAAGCAGTGTATGGAGTTGATGTATTAAACGTTGGCGCGTTATCGTTAATGTCTTCAATTGTTACTGTAACTGTTACATTTGTGGTAGCGTTTTCTGACGGTAAAGCATTTACCTCGTAAGCCTAAAAATTATAAATTAAACAATATACTTGGATTGGCAGGCAAGAAAACATATGCCCACCCACATCCCACATTTATATCGTCCGAGTGGTTAATACATGCACTGGTTGTGTGTATTATAAGGTTGAAGAGACAATCTAAGTATTTTTAGAAAGAAATACAAAAAATACTTGGTCTGTAGAGTGATTAAATTTTTATAACAGAGTCAACAACTCTGTTGAGAATAATTTGTGCTCGTCAAACATTGACGCAGACAATGAATAGCCAATAGAACGCTTGGCCTGCATGATGATTGGGGATAGACCAGGGAACTGGGACGGGACTAACATACTGGCGTACATTGATCAATTTACCCATCGATGTCGGTGACATTGTAATCGGTTAGTGGGGTTGGATGATCGAATGGTTAGCACGTGCGCTCTATCATGAGGCCGTCATTGAGTTAACTGGCGTGGTTTCGAATACCCGGTTGTACGTGACAAGGAGTAGGGTTGCCTGTCCAACTTCGTGGGTTTTCTCCGTGTCATCCGGTTTCCTCCCAATGCTAAAGACCCCTACGCGCAAGCGAATGAATGAAATAAAATTAAACCATATGTTAGTCCCGAAATGACCTAGTCTGTGTCGAGTGGACGTTAAACCCCATTTCTCTCTCACTCACTGTAATCGGTTATTTATTATCCATGCCCCCCGTCTTCAGTAAGCCATTAAACCCCATCTAATTTATCCATGCGCAAAATACTCTCATTACGACATACATGATTCAGTTATAAAATAATGATTCAAGACGGGTATAATGTATTATTTATTACCTGTACAACCAGATCAAAGACACCGTTAATCGCTCTCATCTCATCATCATCTCTATCTAATGATACCTTCTGATATATCATACCTGTTAACACTTCTACTCGAAAAAACTCAGAATTACCTGATAAAATATTCACAGAAAATATTGTTACTGTAAGAGTACCGGAGTGACAGGTGAAAAAAATTGCAGGTATCTAGACAAAAGAGACGACCTTCGGATGGTGATAAAAAAAACCATCCACACAAACTGCTCTGAAAGTGTGAATATTGGGAGCGAAAAATTCCCGGGGATTCTTCTTGGCTATCGATTGGATTTGAACCCGGGAGCAGTGCCCATGGAGTTCTATGGTTGGGCATATCAATGAGCTGCCTTCATCTCTTCAAAAATTGTCAGATCATCCAATACCAAGACTTCCAGAATCAAAGATTGTCAAAGCACAACACCGGCTTACCTTCTACAAGTCTATATCTTATTTCTCTTGGTATACCTCTATCGCCATCTTCAGCATATAGTTTTATCACTGAACTGTCCTTTAAATATAAAAGCATGTAATAAACTAATTAAGATTATATAGCATTTTGGCCTAAAGCATTTTTAAAATCATAAAGATGTGTGATGTACTCTTTCCATGCATCAATGATACCACCAACGATTGTGTATCTGTTTTGTTTGCTTGAATGCAAATCGAAAGAGCATTTCCACAGGTGAATGACCAGTACGAAGTTCTACAAAAAAGTGCAAGCCCCCATTAACTCTTCCAGAAAAAAAGATATTTTTGTATCATTTCGAATAGATAAATTGCCAACAGGTCTTACAGACAAAACAATATTTATGAATCTTTACTATAATTGGGAGGCTTCAGTTCACTTTCCCGGACATACATTCAGAAATAACTCTTGACCCAATGTTCTGCAAATACATGTACATGTATATTATCCTACATGACTTACTGGAGGAAAGTGTTCTGGTATAGCAGCTCTATAAACAGGTTGTAGAAAGTAGGGCGGTGTATCCTGAACATCTTCTATTGTTACAACAATCTCAGCTGTATTAACTAAACCCAGACCATCCTACAAACAGATTAAATCATTATATTCATTATACCATCATTTCAGATTAAAAGTAAGACAACATTATCCCCAATATGATGTCAATTACGTTTTATTTTATTTTTGAGCATAATTCAATAAACTAACATTGTCTGATCATGGACTGATAACGCGACCAGCCAGAGCATCATTGACTAACAAGAAAGTATTACATTATTCTAAACATCGTCTTAATGAAAGAACAATATTTGAATCAGACAAACATTTTGTCGGGTAATGTTTGTATTTATCTTGAATAAGTATAGACATGACAAGTCAAGTATTTGACATTTTAATCTTCTATAATTCTGGTTCAAAAGTTCATTCATCCATTTTTGTTCCAATATCATAGTATATATTTTTGGGATAATAAATAATAATGTAAAAAGTTTACAACTTGGTATATTACCGTGGCTATGATAATTATGGTAAAAGAATTTCTCTGCTCATAATCTAAGGGTGATAAAAGATTTATACTAGCTGTTCCACTTCCTGGTGCCCAGCTTAGAGTAAATACTCCTGCGTTGTTTGGGTCATCTTTCTGAATTAGAGATTATAAAAAAATTCTAAAATTTCTTAACTAAGCTTAATAGAACCGGCTAGAATACTAATTGCATTTGACGCCATTGGATTGGGTGGACGAGTGGCCTACCGCGTTGATCATAAGTATGTTATTGAGCCAGGTGTCGTATGGTTTCTCTCCCAGGCGTGGCAGTGGCAGGAGGTAGGGTCGCCTGTCTAACCGCGTTAGTTTTTTCCGAGTCCACTGGTCCCCCCCCCCCAAAATTGCTGAAATACATGTTAGTGCCCAATAGACTTGATTGCAAGTTGAACTAGTACAATAGATCTTAATGAGTAACTAAGGAAATTCATACACGAATCGAGCAGTAAAATAGTGACAATAGAAATTATATACATTATGATATACTCACCATGGCTAAAGTAAAGGTACCACCCAAACTTGTATCAGGATCATATACCGATATATTACCAAATATAACAGATCCCACAGATATATCCTTTAAAAAGACATGATATATGGCACGATGTACACATATATTACCATATACATATACTGATATCATACAAATAAAACATCATATACCGATATATGCGACAAATAAACCATTATACTGATATGTTCTACTACAAAAAAAACCAAAACAAAAAAAAAAAGAAAAAAAAAGAAAATACCGATATATTCTAGATACAAACTTTATGTACTAATATGTCATACAAATAGAACATTATATAACATTTAGATCATACAAATAGAACATTATATACCAAATATCATGTCAAATGAAATATTTTTTATGCGGGAATAGTATTATCATGACACATATTTTGGCAATATGAATACATTAACTTTCTAGAACAATTGATACCACTTCTCATTTGGGATTTTGAATACACCTTTGCTTTACCTTTTGTGTGTAAACCGGGCTATATTTTAAGAGAAGATATATCTCGATATAATATAAAGAATGTATGATTACCCTACCTCAGGAACTTTAGGTGTATAGGGCAGGTTTCTAAATATTGGTGCATTATCATTAACATCAAGAACTATCAATTCACAAGAACGGGATACCTGAAAAATTTATATTTACATTTCAGATGGATATCAAAATAATTACACTTGGACACACTGTCATGTCATAGATATTTTTTTACCCTTTATATAACCAGTAGACACATGTGACAATGATAATAATTTATGCATTAATTCACATATAACATTAATTTACATTACCGTATCTCCACTATCTTTAACATCAAATTGTAATAATTTAGGATTAGGAGTCTGAAAAATAAATGATTCTAATCATCTATTTGGATTTTACAAAATAAATTTAATAATACCTTACTTTTTCGTGTCAAAAACGGGCAACTGTATACTGCCCTTACTGTCACGATTAAAATGTAAACAGAAGAACATAAAGGTTAAAGATCGGTGAGTTTAAAGGGATTTTCCTTAATCAATTAATCACTTACTAAGTACTATAATGTATTACTATTATGATAAATAGGCTAATGTAAAAAATTGGTGAGGCTATTGAGTGGGTTTTTTTTCAAACTTTACTCACAAAATCACGATCCAACTCCTTGATCAAGACGATACCAACAGTATATTTGTCAGTTCCAGATGACCATGGTTCTGTAAGGTTAACCAAGTCTATCGTTAAAATATTTCCCGGCGAAAATATCAAATTGTCGTTTGGAATGGACGTGGTAGCGGTTAAATTAAACAACCATTCTCCTGAAACAGTTTTGTTTTTATATAATTAAAAATTTATAATAACTTTATTCAAGTATTCAAGGCGAAATACTTATAATACAAAAATATTTACAATAATGCATCAATAATAATGTCGATTAACAATAATGTATCAACGATATCGATGATTTACTATTATGTATCAATAACGATGATGATGTTTGCACACACCCGATTTAGGGCCTGGAGAAAATCGTCATAATTGTCAAGTAAATTGTCACTGTTATACTAACAATTCTGAAATTGGCATAAAGTTAAATATTTGCGAAAACACCCGATGCCTTCATCTTTGTCATAGAATAGTACATTGGTTAAATATTGATTTAAACAAAATGCCCAAAACATAAAATGACATGTTGTACAAGAAATTTTGGAAATCCATTAACGGTAAAAAAAAGGAGTTATCTCCCTTGCAGCCAAATGTCTGCAATTGATAACAGTATTTCAGATGCGTGGTGACTGCTGATTTTTTATGACGCACATGACCCTGTGAGGGCGCACAGGCCCAATTTTATATCGTTAATCGGATCCCAGGGGCCTACGAAGGTTGGTGGGAGGATGTTTTCCCAGAAATTATGGGCTGGGTGGAATATGCTAGAGTCTGGGCCAGGGAATATGTTTGACATATGGTTGTGAAGTAATGGTGATCAGAATGTGCCAGGAGCATTGTGAATCGCATTGAAACCACATCATCTTTTCCACTAAGATATAAACCCACAACCTCCTTCAATTAGACCCTATGCAGTATTTTTTACTAAATATAGCTGTAAACTTCTATTTCAGATATGATGTAAGACCAAATACATACGTAAACTGAAACAGTATCACGCTGACTACACTTACACAGATCTGTACAAGACAGCTTGTTTCTCTTTGTCAGTGGCGCAGGATGGGCAGGGGGTGGCGGGTGGGGTGGAAGGAATAGTGCCTAGTCGTTCAGATGGTATCAAAAACAATAGTTTAAACAATATTTGATCCAACAAACTGAATCAAATTGAACAACAGACAAGGGCCTATATGAGTTCTCTCAAAACAGCATTTTTACTAGTAGAGTTGTAAATTGTAAACCTTTAGTTTAGATAAGATCTGAGGCTAAATTCCTAACAGACATGTAATTTTTCCACTAAAATAGATATTTGGCAAAAACTAAACAATACTGTAAAGGAGTGGCAATTGTAATGAAGAGAAAAGAAATCAAATGGAGTTTATATATAACCGGGATAATGAAGATATGTATACGCCATATGCATTATATATTATGAGGAAATTTTGCCCAAACAGCGACGTTACGACCCACTCTTTCGAAATGTCAAGAGTTCTTTTATGTGCACGTTAACGTGTACATGGGACCTCAGTTCTGCGTACCATTCGAATAAATGATTAGTGAGCCAGCGCTTTACTGACCGAACCCTCCGTCCTGCACCACCGACAAGGGGAAACCACGCCGAACCAAGAACGAACCCCCGACCTCCCGGTTAGTGAGCCATGCCCTCACTGAGTTACATCTGCTCCCTTGCACTGATGAGAAAAGGCCACTTGCGTGGAAAACAGGAATACTAGCTGTACATGTACATTTATAGATGCTTTGTTTCAGTTTAAATATGTGTTAGAGCTTTAGCCTCAAATCTTATCTGAAATAAAGGTTTACAGCTATTATAGTAGAAATAATATTTGGGAATAACTTATATAGGCCCTTGTCTGTTGTTAAATCATATTCAGCTTATTGAATAACTTGTTTAAATCAAAATTTAACCAATACACTATTCTTGGCCAAGGATGAAGGCATTAGGTATTTTCCCCAATATTTAATTTTATGTCAACTTCACAACTGTTAGTATAACTATAGCATTTACTTGACAATTATCACTATTCGCATCTGGCCCTGAATCGAGTTTTTGCAAATCTTTTGCTTGGAACTAATCGCAATTTGTTTAAAGAATATGTTCATCTATTTAATACTGGTCGCAGATTGTAGTTGGGGGTACCATCTAACGAAACTATTCGACTTTTTAAAAATCTATAGCCAGTATAACAAACATAATATGCATATTAATATGGTCTTACGGTTTCATTATCGAAAAAGATTATTCACAGCCAAACTGAACCCAGAGCCTTCTGTTTTATTCTGTCGAAATAGTTTCATTATAATATCAGTGTTGTTTGTAATAGTGTTCAATCTAAAAATTCGTTATGTAAATACCAATTACCCTTATCAATCTGACGTCAACGTCACAAGCAACAACTAATGGATTGCTAACCCTTTGATAACGAATCCGAAAACCATTTTTTTTTTCAAACCAACCCAAGACCACAGTACAGTGTTTAGACTGTTGGGCTTATTTTCATGATTGTGACCAATTTACCTATATAAATTATTGTATAAAACGGATATATTACCGATTGGGGTGTCTTCTGGATATTGTGGAAAGCAATCGATATTATCCCAGACAGGATCACACTGTATCAGATTAACTACAATGTAGAAAGTGAAATAATAAAGTAGCTAAGTCTCTAACTCAATATCATCCAAAGTCTTCAACATTGAAAACACAAATTATTTGTCAATTTAAATCAGCATTGATGTTGTAATCTTACCGTGAAAAGATGCGCTTCTGATATCCAATATTAAAGACAAATTAATGCGTTTCAACGCCATTGGTAAAAAGGGACTCGAAGAACGAGGCTAGACATATTCCACAAGTCATATCAAGCGGTGACGTCATATTCTTATTTGGAGAGCATGCGCAATAAATACTATCGGTCAAGACTGGAATAACCAGACGCTATAGAGACTGTCATTCGATTGAGACTTCTGGCGTATTTCGCCGAACATAACTGATTTGAAATTAGAGTAAAAACGGAAACGATTGAATGTAAATCAGTTTATATACATTCATATTACATTATTATATGCGTTGCTACCCATTTGTGTCAATTTCTAGATCCAAAATATTAGCGATTTAGCTCCTTTAAACTATTAACGTATATTACTTTGTTCTCACAGATTCAACAAGGATCTGCCCACAACACAATTTAGACGTTAATAAGCCACGTTTTTAGACTAGATTACAAGCGACAACGTCAGTTGAGAGACCTTGGGCAATGGGTTTTGCAGTCACATATAAAAACCCAAGACAATTAGTTGTTCAACTACCTAACACCATTTATGGCCACCCAGGACTTGAGACAGGACTTTTCTTGTGATTTCCAGTGGTAGTCGGGGACGTAACCCTGTAAGTTGTCTTATCTCTCCGTGTAACTGGGGCTTTATGAAAATCTGTGGACAAATTCTGAAATTGCTTCAAAACTTGTAATCAATTTCTGAGCCGAACAGTATTTTTAAAAGCCCAGAAGGTATAAATACCGATGATTTGAATGACATTCAAAATCATCCCAACCAATTTATAAAAATCCTCATATGGTTTATTATTCGAGTGTTTTGAAGTAGACATATAAAAGAAAGGGTTTAAATATCGCAAGCAAAATGAAAAGAAACAAATACAAAATATTTGTAAATCAAGAAAAACAGCGATTTATTAATTCATTTACTTTTGAAAGATGTCAGCCGAGCTTTTTCATAAATGTGTTTATATTTACAAATATCGTGTCTAAATAAGACAACCTATATGTCTATAAAGGTGACATTGAGGTCTGTGTGTGTTCACCTTTAGGTTACTTATACCCAGCGTATTTACCTTTCGGCTATAACGTTCACCCCCTTAATACATTACCCATTGATCTTTAATAATAAGCAGATAGACGAAGCTATCAAATACTCGAGTATTAACATTTATCATTTTTAGAATCTAGCTGCCTAATTAAAGTCAACATAATATATTGTAAGAAATCTAGCCATCTTCAAATCAACATAACATTATAGAAAATCTAGCCATCTTCAAAATCAACATAACATTATAAAACATATAACCATCTTTAAAATCAAAATAACATCGAAAGAAATATAGCCATCTTTAAAATCAACATAATAGTATATAAATCTGGCCATCTAATTAAAATTTGATCTTTATTTCATTGGTTGACCTACACTACATGGCGATTTAACTACATGTATTCCTTTATCAATGTTATGTTCTGTTGCAGCCCCTGTTATTGGTTAAATTTATTCTTGTCCAAAAGTATTGTATTGGATCTTACTGTAGAATAAACGTACAAGAAACAAAGAAACGAAAAAAAGGTTTAACTTTAATTTATTTAGAGTGCATATCCTGCAACATCATGAATGGTCAAGCTATTGATATGGGGGTTTCTATATTTACTGATGAACTGATTAAATACAAAAGGTTTTCGTCAATGTGCATTGTAATATATAAGAAGCCGCCATCTATATGACATATTGGTCTCTAGTATCGTGGTGCAACTTCTGTGGTAGACGTTTGTCTTTATTTCTCCAGTCTAGTGTTTACTATAACATTCACTCACGTATTTGGGGTTTACAGGAGTGCTCAAATCCTTTATACAATACGGGTGTTGTTAGTGGTTATTTTGATTAATTAATATAAAGGAAATAAAGAGAAAGGGTATCGTCATCGATTAAACTCTTTTGAGAATTCAGGATACTACATTTCTCTCTTCCTAGTGCTGTGTAGATGAAGAATATTGCTGGCAGCGGAACATTTGTATACATGCCAAAAGTTCCACATTTCAAAATGTTTTTAGCGCTGATGGTAATCAATGTATCTACTTAGCGAAGATAGATATTCAATCTTTATTAATGATAATTACAAAACAAAGCGTTTCAAACCTTTCTTTGTCTCCACCGCATCTACGTGTATTTATTATAATGTCAAAGACAACTTTGAGCATACTTTTCATTTCACTTTTCTCATTACCATATATTTACCTTATTTGTAAGTTATTTTATATCATTAGCCCCAAATCCTAGTCTTTAATTTTGTTGTTTACATTGTGACGCTACTATCAAACTGTAATCCAATAGCTAACATAGTCTATGCCATTTAAATCTTTGGGATATATTATTTTTATAGAAAACAAATTGTAACCGAGAAACGTTTTAGGAAATAAAGAATGATTGTAATTTGGTATCACATTAATACAACTTGCGCAATTAAGACTAGAGCTGCAAAATTACCCAGATTTAATGTTTATAATTTATTTCTGTAAGATCATACAATTTCATCAAATTAACAACGATACAAAATAAATGAATTGTTGAAACTTACCTGAATATAATAAGGCAACAAGGTATTTAATCCGTGTGTTGATCCCCATTTTATATATCAAATACCTATAATGATATTTACTAGGTCACAAGGTGTAGACTTCTAGTTTCTTATCTAGAAAGTTTGTCGACGGGCCTACTATAAAGTTATTGCCACTTCGGTCAAATCTACCTGTTCTGTTTGTACATGCATAAACAACGCCTGCTTTATCTAAAGACTTTCTGTTAAATTATTATAAGATAATAAAGCCATTAAACAAATTCAAAATGTTTCACAATAGAGGAGTGTATGTTTTTATAAATATTATTAACTAATTCTACCTTAATATTCTGCTTATATTCGAAATACAATATGTTACCATCCAACCCTAAAATGGCAATCAAATTCAAATTCCATAAATACAAAAAAGATAAACTAGTGGCACAATGCGTAAATTCGACCAAGGAATTGTTCTTATGGCATAGCAGTATCAGATGTTTCGAAAAGAGTAAGCATACTCTGTCTGGCTCACAATACCAACCACTACATAACATATACGCCAGGTAAATGCAGGAACACCTTTAGATTATTAAGCACATTTTCAGTTCTCGAGTTGCCAGCGATGATTATGTTAATATATTCGAATATCCAATATATTTGTGATCTAGGTATTTAGATTTCTTTACGATATCCAATTAGGACATTTGGTGGTTGTTCGGGTATTGTTGTTATTCACATCTGTCGGTGTTGTTGTTCAGAGACCCTAGTTTTAGCAGGAACAGCAGTTATTCACAATCCATTGGTCCAAAAATCTTTTTCTTAAAATTAGATGTTTAGATATTAGTTATAATCAAAGAATCGCTAAGTATAGATCACGTTCCCAACAGAGATCCAAAAGACAATGAGTGGTTTAAGTGGTAGTTAGTTCTTTGATGCCCGTTTTTTTTACAAATTTTGCAGTTAATAATTAAAACTTTACAAAAGGGACGCGCACTTTTCACTGCGTATGCCTTTTGTGATCCAGTGAAGATCAAATTAAACGTTTGAACACTATGGTGACATCAACAAGTACATGATAAACGTTCTGTTATCAACGACTGTAAAAGTATGGTAAAACTATTCAAGGCATGTTATGTATGACATCTAGGTAGATTCATTAACCTGACTTTATAAGGTTTAATATTACTTTAACCCCTATACTATAAATCTCGAAATAAATAAAATCATAGTTTATAACTCAATTAATCACAGTATATATTTGTAGGTAAAACGTTATTAACAAGGATATAGATAAATTAGTTTAAGACTAGAACAGGAATAAACTTATCATGTGTTGACATAATGAAGATAAACTTGAAATCTACAAATGAAATATTGATAATCAAGATATTTCTTTTAATTTTTACCAAATTGATTTTGCCTGATTTAGACTACGGTCGTGTTTAATATATGCAACGTACTACCATGGACCGTATATATACACGATCCATGGTCCTACGTAGTAAAAAGCTAACGATGTGAGCTGCCAATGTCACTAAAAATAGCCCGTCGAAATATAGTGTTTGTTTAAAATGATCAGGGTCTTGATTTGTCTTTTGGGATAATATCTCTTCGTTCACCAATCTGATTAAAATACAGATCTACATTTCGTTTCGTTTTTTTATACTTTCGATGGCCTACACGGCATGAAGATCTGACAAGTTGTAGCGATAGGTCGCGTCAGAGGTCATATGAGCGGCTTTTGACCTATGACGTCAAAGATTTGATTACCCAATCAGCATTGATGTTTCTAGTGGATTACCCACAGTTCCGTGCAAAACACGCCTAAAGCTCGCTGTAACAGACCGTTTCATTGGGTAATTCCTCATACCATCCAGAACACGTCAATGATAACAATTCTTCCAGAACCTAGTGTAGTAAAGACAAGTGAAACGAAATTTTGAACTATAAAAAACGAAATCAAATAGGATCTGTGTTTTAATCAGATTGGTTTAAAGAATGCTCCCAAAAAATACGCTTTTTTGTTTACATCGATAATGCATCTTAAACAGACTTTTGTTGAAACAACTCTGGCTGTAATGTAGCTGCTAACTGCATAAAAACGGCGAAATTTGTCAAATGTGGATAGAAACTTGTATGAAAACTGCTAGAAACAAGCTTTGGGGGCTACTCTATTAAGTAAGGGGGTTGGGTGGCCAAATGGTTAATGAGTGCATGTGATTTAATCAGGTCTGTCATTTAGTAATGTTTGGCAAGGTTTGGATTCCCCACTTGTACCTTACAAGGAGTAGGGTCGTCTGTCCAACCTCGTGGGTTTTCTCCTGGTCTCTGGTTTCCACCCACTGCTAAAGACCCCTACACGCAAGTGAATTATTGAAATAAATTGAAATGTGTTAGTCTCGAAATGACCTAGTTTGTGTCGAGTGGATGTTGAACCCCATTTCTCTCTCTCTTGATAAAGCCCATTAGCCACTTGAAAATCCAAGATGACAGCCATTTTCAAGATGGTTGACTTTAAGGTAACTACATATCATTTCTGCGATTACATGTAAGTCACACCAAATTGTCCAATTTTATTGATCCTGAACACAATTCATATTTTGCTAAAATGCAAGCGCCATAACACAAAAAGTTGTGGTCTGACCATAACTGAACTCTCTCATGATCTTTTGATCCTGATATAGCTAAGTCTCATCTAAATCAGACCAATTTTGTACATAACTCACATTTTGAATGAACAACAAGGGTCATGAGCCAAGAAGTTTCAGACTCCTCAAGATCTTTTGATCGTTAATATATATTGTAAATCTGAATCGGACCAAAATTTATAGCCCCTGGTGGGTCCACAACATTCGTACATACTTCACAATTTTACGCAAAGGTAGGAGTCCATAACCCAAGAAGGTACAGTCCACCAAATCCAAACCTATTCGAGATATTTGGAACATACACATATCGGATAAAAGTTGTGACCTCTGGATTGTCCACGACATATTTAAACACAAGCCAAGACGTTCAGGAATCCAGACATGATCGACAACGTAATACATGCACGTTTACAAGAAAATGTAGGTTTATAAATTTCCTCTCGATCCGCAAGTGGGTAAAAGTCTGTGAAAGAAAAGCCGAAAATGGCAGCCACCTTGGAAAATGACCGCCATTTTGACAATTCATGTGCTTATTTGGATTTCTTAATAAATGGCCTAAACAGGCAGCCATACAAATTGCAGTGCTTTTATCAAGATTTTTACACTTAGCTGCCTCACAACTGTGCATTATCTTGATTAGAAATCTCTGTTAATCAGGGAAGTGACTAGTCCTGTACACTAAAACGACTAAAGGGAACATACTCTGTTTTAAAAAAATAACAGACAAAATCTTGGCATGGAAAATAACATCTTACCATATTAAATTTATGTCATATCTGGACAGTAAGCCATGTTTAAATGTTTATGTCAATATCAGAGTTGGAACCACAGAAGCAAGTGGGACCTTTTATATTAAATATTATTTTAATTTTTAAGTACGGTAGATGATTTGTACTGAGTGCTGATTATCAAGTTTTAAAGCTTTGATGAGTCTCTAAACTGGACTGGTTTAAAAATAAACTGGACTGCCAAGAGTAAATATGATGAATAACAGAAGTAGGAGAGAGTGCTTAAATGAGATTTCTATTTTTACTGTAACAGCTCTGACAAATCCAGTCGGGGTCGATAAATATGATATTACACAATGTATAACAATATTTCTCATAATGGTTCACTTTTATTCTTAAATGCAATGGTAGACTTTGATGATAAATGCATCCTGCTTTACAAACACAACAAAAAATCAGTTACACTGTTACCTATATTATATATAACAATATTGATCTAACACAGCACTTATAGATGTCACTTTACTTTACACAATATCAATAAAGTTTATTTATTTACACTTGTAGCTTCCTACACTATCGTTTTCGCTCAACTAATTTTGTTTTTCTCTTTGATTTTTCAATGTCCGTTAATCTTTTTCTTTGGTGTACTTCTTGCATGATTGAGTCTCTCTCATCTTCATTTGTGTTTTCTCTATACCATTTCATAAGGTCATATTTTTCCCAGGGTTTAGCCACTTTAGCTGCCTTGTCATAAAATCTTTGTTCTAGTTTGAGATCCTCTACACCTTGTAAATCCTGCCTCTCCCATCTCTCCAACCAGGGGCGGGGATTTAACTGAACCTGAAACAACAGAAATATTTAACTTGGTACATAAACTAAATATGTGTGATAAACACTTTGGTTTATAAAAGCCTTACATTGTATTCTACTATCCTTCACCTTTTGATTACCAATTGCAATCCTGCTCCTTCAACATACAGACGGAGGGCCTAACAAGGACAGCCGTCTAGTCATGCGGATGGGACGAAAAACTGAGGTCCTGTGTACATATTGGCGTGCACGTACAAGATCCCTTGGCAGTTGGAATACGATATATGAGTAGACCGTAGTGCCGCTGCCCGGGCAAAATTTCCCTCATCGCACACTGTATGGTGTATGCCCGTCTTCATTAGCCGAGTTTAGGAGCAGAACAGTAGAAAGTTAACCCCATTTCATTTCATTTCATTTCCTTCAACATACTAAGATTCTACTTGTATGCTGTGCACACTTATCTCCTAAATGATGAAACATACACTTAAACAGCTGATACTAATCTGAGCAATCCAGAAAGTTTGCTGCATTGTTATTGGAGTGTTGACAATCATCAAGAGCAATAACTCTATAGACCAAATTACCAGAAACTGTTGGGATTTGATAGGCATATTTCTCACAATAATTGAAACAAATAACATAAATTTAATGTAAATCAGACGATAAAAAAGTAAGTCTCAGTCAACTCTGAAAGTAATTAATGGAAATTTTTTTTATGTGTGTCAAATCGGTACTTTATTTCAGCGTCTCATAATTTCATACCAACATTAACCCAACTATTGTTACTAGCCTTACCTTCATTTTATTGACTGGTACTGTGCTACCTTTCGGTACAGGAATTGGATCCATATCAAAAGGAAATGTGCTATGTTCTTGAGGTGCATCTCTGAGGTAATATAATTTGTCATCTACACGTTTTTCTAATTTTAGAACTTGTATACTTAATAATGTAGGATTATACATCTCGTACATAATTTCTATTCCTACAAATAATAACCAAAATATTAGAATCAATCAATATCATTATTTTATCATTTTCTACAAGAAAAAAATTGAATAAAGTTAGACATATCATATCTCTAAATAACCCTTGACTAAGCAAATATTTGCCTGAAAGTGTTCATTCAATATATATTAATCATTGCCAATAACTATAGATAGTCATATCACTGCATATGGAGAATTGTTTTACCCAAAGCCTCTTTAAAACAGATGTATTTCTGTTATTACCTTGCCATCATTATTATTAGATTTAAGCAATAAAATACTTAACAAACTCCAATACAAGTGCAGAATTTGCTCTATTTGCTGGTCCTCCATCACCCAGAAATAATGAATGATTATAAATTTAACTTACCTTGTCCATCAACTACATTTCGTAGAATAAAAAAAGCTCGGAGACCCACACCACCTCTATCTATGCATATACCAACAAATCTATTTTCTTTATTGGGTGAATATTGATCTGATACAGTGACAGCCATGATAGACCCTTAAAGAAAACATAGATTTCCAGGCAAGGTAACATAATATGTACATAAATGCACAAGGAGTATCTGTATTGTGAGTACAATACAATATAGGAATTATCATTAGCCAAATACTAACTATTCCAGAAAATTTGATGAAAACTAGTAAAGTACTGAACCAGCAAGTAAGAACATTGTAATGTACATTATCAACAGTCACAAGTCTTGAACTACTTTTGCTAAAATGCACAGGATTACCCCAATAATAAGAACCCTAGAAAGTTTGATGAAAATCAGTGAAGTACAGTACTTAACTGCAGCAAAGTACATGTAAGTACAAGCAGACAGGGCAGATTACAATATAAAACTGCATTGACAAGTGGGTGTAATCTAATATATGGTTAATCATGCAAGGGAGGTAATATCAAATTCCATACTCTGATGGTTTAATTATTTCAACAATCAGAGTATGTATTTTTTAAAAAAAATGTTATTCCAGTTATATTATTCTCTAATCATGACAAAGTTTCAGAAACTAAACCAAGGTTAACTTAGCACTAATCAGTCATGATATAATAGATAATACAGGGTTAAAGATAGTTAAGTCTGTCTGGTGCAATTGTTTAAAATTCAATGGCCAAGCCTTATGGCAAAACATATTTTCCTGCTAAGCTAGATTACAGAAATGGCTTCGGGGCTTCTTCTATATACATCGCATTTGAGTAGAATGGTTCTGATCTGGTATTAACAAACTTAGGCAAGGTGATAAAAGACTAACATATTATTCAGAATTTAGATAATACATCAACTGGGCATACTTTATACACATGTAAAGTACATTGTACCATCAGTCTTTAACTTACCAACATAGAATTCTGGTATATCAATTACAGCTCTTCTTCTATACATGTCTTCTCTTTCTAATCTTTCTCGTATACTATCTCTTCTATCATATTGTGGATCAGGTAAAAATTCAGGATAAACAAACCTTTAAAAAAACCATTTAATCAAAATATATGAAACACTATTTTCAAGTATATTAATATACATGTACTCCTATTTTAATCAAAACTTGTGTCATTACTTTTATTTTGTCTTTTACAACTTCCATAATGTTTTACGATATGGACAGAACATATTATTATGAATCCTAGTGATACAAGTACCACCAGGATTCACATGTGACTGCGGTTCCTGCTATCGACCAATCAATGTCTTTGTATAATATATGATGAAAATTCGTCATTTATGAAATTGCGGTTGAAATCAATTCAGTGATTCTGAAGAAAAAGGAAATATATCATCAAGCTAACGTCCTTTTTCAACACATTTCAGAAAGCATACAAAATAATTGTGTTCAAACATTTTATTTTGATAAACTAAACAAATTAACATGTCCTCTTGTCATATGTCTCACCAGGCAGCCACTGAGGTTTAAAATATAATCAGTTCAGACAGTCAATCATGTGTCTACAGTATTGCAAGATCTTGGTTCATTGGCTAAAAAAAACCCCAGACAGCATTTGTTACTTTGAATTTATTACCTAAAATCAGCAGGCACATTTTCACTGGTTATGGAAGGGGGGAGTTCAGGGTGTTTTGATAATTCTGATTTTCTGTGTTCTTCCACAGTTTCTGGCAAGAGATAGTTTCGTGTGGGTAGTAATTCTTGGTGATATCGACATGGTACACGCCTAGCAGCATCTGGAACAAGAAAACATACATATGTACATATATAAGATAAGACCCTTAATTAATTTAAAACATCACTGATTTGGCTCGGATATCAAATTTGTCCATTACCTTTAATTTTATGTGTTGATTTACACTGGAGGTTCCAGAGTGGGGGTTTGGGGGTACATTGGATGGTTCTACTAACTATATATGATGGAAAGTCGTCTGACAAGTTTAGTCCTAATGAAAGTTACCTATTCTTTCGAGCTAGATATCGATGCTATTACAATTTATATAGATAGAGCAGTTCATCAAAAAACATCCAAGCTGCATATTCTCCCCATTATATTTGGAGTTGTCATAATTGAGCAAAACACCATTTAGGCTCTTATCAAGTTATCTGTGCCCCAGCGTATTTGAAAAAAATAAACGAATAGTTTTCTTGGTATTTGTGTTTGACACAGTCGTGGATGGTTTTTGTCTTTCTATTTTGCTTCCTTAAAGTTTTCTGTCAGAATCGTGCATATCTGATTTTATTGCATATCAGTAAAATTAAAATGCAGCGTAGTAGGTACATTGTACATGTATTTAAAGATACATTCCCGCATACAAACTGGGTGATTTGATGATATATTTTGACTAAAAACATATTCAAACTAATTAATTATCATAAGTTTGCTTCAAATCCTTCTAAAAACATTGCAATTGTCAGGGAATACCCTAGCTATAAAAAATCGTGCAGACACTTCTAATCGTCGGGCTGTCGATTAGGGAAACCCTTACCTTTTTGTCCTGTATGAGTTCATGAGTGTTTTTTCAGGGAATCCAGTATTTTTCTAGTAAGATTGGATATTTTTACTTTTCATATATACCAAAATTGACATACTTTTATTGGAAATAACCACCTGATAAATACTTTTCTGGGAACATAGCTTGAATATGTTTTTATGGATAATCTTAGTTTTTGTGTTTTGTCAAAAGTGACCTCTGGTTACTCCAGATATATGTTAAAATGATGATATAGTGCACATATTTCTCAAAATTGTTCAAGGCTGGGTGGAGAGAACATGCCGTCCCCACCCCCTCCAATCCCCACAACAGATACATTGTCTCAGAAACCTGGCAACCCCCCTTCTGCAAACATTCCTGAATCTACCCCTGATTTGTTTGATTTATGCTAGTTTTAAAGACTTTTTGGTACAAATTTGACATTTTAGAAATTTAGTCAATAGTGTGCAATAGTGAACGATCATACAATTACAATCAGATCAATTCACAACAGCTACATGTATGTCATGACAATTTAGTAACCTGATATAGTACATGTATATGGCAGGTAAATGAATGAATGAATGAAATGGGATATAATTAACAATAGTAATAACATCTTCTACGTACATGTACACTAATCAAGATTGCCATTCGCCATACAGTTTACTATGAGGAAAATTTTACTTGGGCAGTAATTGAATTCCACTTTCAAGTGTTAATTTACGTGCATGTAAACTCATAAAGGTGTACACGATACCTCAGTTGTTTGAAGTAGTTCGCACAATCTGAACGACTAGGTTTGGTAGGTAAATGTTGGGTGCATGAAGCGACTAGTATATAATCTATCTCCTAAAGACATTCATGGTAAAACTTTTATATAGAGCTAAGCTTTAAAGCATTGTGCGAAGCGTGGTGCTTGAGCAAAGCTCTTTTCCGGTAACATAGGAGCTTGACTAAAACTTTTGCAAAGCTCTTTTCCGGTAACACAGGAATGTAACTAAGACTGTCACCCACAGATTGTTGATTAAAAAAAACCTCAGACCGGAACAGGAAATACAGGATACACTGGGCAAAACTGGCAATGCGCATGCCAACTCACCAAATCTCGCCTAAAGTGAGATTATGCGTCTTATAGAAATATTTCTATGACATGTCTAATCAATGACGTCACATATTTTTGACGTCAATGAAAAGAATTTTCACTTTTTTGTATGAATCATACAATTTAGATCTAGGGCCTAAATAAAATAAATTAAAATCAATTCGGAAAAACGAAATTATTTAACATTAGACTCTATCTGTATCAATTTGAAGGTTTTATTGACAATAATCACATCAGCTTCGCTCTACTCAGGCAATGCTTGTTACATAAATAATGTGTCAACTCTGATAATTTTAATTTCTTAATATGACTGAAAAGGAGTTAGGGTACCCGGCCTTATCGTCTACGCTTCTCAATTTCTGACTTCTGTTCAACATTCATTTGCACATTAGCATTAGGATTAGCCCATGACCTTGGCCTTTTATGGTTTATAATGAAACAGCTGTTTCAAATCACCATTACCAGTGCTAGTTTCTTCATTTCAAAATATTATTACCTTCAAACGTAAGCAGCTTCGTCGTTTTCCAAAAGCATGGCAAAATTCTTCTCGAGTAGGACGCCATTTTTATTGTTTATTTTCTGTGCGCATGGCAAATGACTCATCTAAATTTAGAATTTGGAGTACCCTACTTCATAGTCTAATACACGCATTTGGATCAACTATCGTCCAAAATATACATAAATTTACATAGACATTTGACATAATACAAACTGTAATATTTCACATACGAATACATTGTATAAAACATACAAACTATAAAATTTATTTCAATAAAATATTTAAATACATACTTTACAGTGTATAATATAGATACAAGTTGATAAAAGTCTCATCAATAACGCATTGGCCGGTGTGATAGTTTGAGTTGACTCCTGGTGTGTGTTTTCTTCTGGGCACTTGCGCATGTCCGAAACTGATGTTTGCCGTAACAACTAAACTATATCTACTTCCTGCAGTGTGAGTTGGTTCCTGACCACTGGTCAGTACAGGAAAAAAATATATCATGTACTTGATTAGAGTTTTGTCATTAATAAAATACTTGTTGACGTGATTAACTGTTGTTTTAGCGATCAGTAGTTACACGATCAACGGATCTAAGTTGATTGGCTTGAAATTGATACTTCGTTCGTGATTTGTTGCCGTTGTTTTTTTTTTAGTGATTAGTCGTTCTACACACGTACGATCAGTGGAAACCATACAAATTGATGATTGGCTTGAAATTATCAATTAATTCACCTCCAAAGGAAGATTAAGGCCTTTGATATTTCGTGGCTTCATTTAACACAAATATAAAAGTATGGAATTTCTTATTCCGATATCACCTCGGTGGAAGCGGACGTAAAATACAACTAACTCATCATCATCTTATTCCGATTTCTTTAACATAAATATAGATTTATTACACCATCCCATACGTACATTCAAACATGCATGTAGACAGCCCAAATACAAGAGAGAATGTTCGCATTGTGGACGGGTATATATACTAAATAATAATAATAAAGATCGTCAATTTGCATCCTCTCTTAGTGGTAATATTGTAAATATATAATAATAATATATTGATTTGACCGTAAGAACATCTTAGGGGAAATCCTATCACGAGGAGTCAATGCACACCGCGTCTGTAACGGTGTGAGGTGACTCCTACAACTGCGCATGTGCCAAACGGTAATCACACACCAGGGACCATCTGAAACTGCCACACCTGATTTAGCAAGCAGAGCCAACTGTCTTGTTTTTGAAAACATCAAATGTCTTTCTCCTTGAACTTTATATCGGTACGTCAAAAATCGGGTATTGCATCTTTATTTAGTATTTACCAATAAAATGAATTTGTAAATATAGCTTAACCACCAATCCAGTAACGAGACGCATATATGTCCGCATATACATGCTGTCTCCACAGATCAACTACCAAACAGTACGTTTTTTTTTATTAAATAAATGGATGGACATCCAACTAAACCTTCTCCATATGGCCTAAGGCCGCAAATGGAAAGATTGCAAAATCATATTCTAAAACAGGGAGAAGCCTCGGCTCTCCTATGTCTTGTCTGCGATATCACTTCTGTGGAAGCAGACGTTAAAGCACCAGGTATTCGTAGTAGTAGTAGTAGTAGTATAGCTTAACCTAAATTATAAGCAAATAGCTTAATCGAAAATGAATTTTGTAATATTACAAATTTTGTAATATTGTAACACAATGTTGTAATTTGTAATTATAACTTTCAACACAATAAATATAACTTAGAAATTTTCTAAAGCAGCTGCTCTTCTGATTAGGTTCTCGGGATTTTCTCTGAATGGATTGGTGATGTTGTTGATGTTCTTAGTGTTTAACCTCCGCTTCCACCGAAGGTGATATCGCAGACAAGTTGTCTTTTTTTTATTATTATTTTCATTATCTTAGCGCACGCGCAGGGGTCTTTCCTGTGGGAGGAATCCGGAGTTCCCGGAGTAAACCCACGAGGTTGGGAAGGCGCCCCTATCTCCAAGCCACATACGCTCACACCAGGAATCGAAACCACAACCGCAAGCCAGAGGTGACCGGCCAGCTAGAGGTCAAGCGTAACACTCTAGACCACTAGGCCATCCCAACCCCCCTGGATTGGCGATGTCCATTTCTTTTACTTATAGTTGATAAAAAATATATGATTAATGTTTATCTCATATATATTACCTAATTAGATCAGAGGGATTATCCAATCAGTTGATTAAATAGTACTCACCTCTTTTCTTGGGTTATTATTGGCATTTTTCCACTGACAAATTCTTCAGGACACATTGTTTGTATGTCTGTAGCATCACATCGATGTTTTGTTTAAGTATATTGTTTTTCATTAAATTAAAAGTGTTTGGCCGTTACGACTAAAAAATTTGGTCCGGGGTTCGAATCGGTTTTCCCTTGTCAGTGTTGCAGAGCTGAGGGTCTGGCAAGAGATAAGGTCTAGTCGTTCCGATAAGACGAAAAACCTAGCTTCCCTGTACACGTTGGTGTGCACGTAAAAGAATCCTTGACAGCTAGAATTCAATTGCTACACGGGCATAATTTCCTTCAGTCATAGCACAATGTAGCCTATGTGCGTACGCCAGTCTTCATTATTTCGGTTGGTGCACAAAAAGTAGGACGTTTAACCCTATTTTATTCTCCTTATTATTCTGGTTGGTGCAGAAAAGTAGGACGTGTAACCCCATTTCATTCATTTACACAATGACTTATTACATTTATCGTCACAAATTAAACTAGTAGTTTCGGGCCAAGAGAATTGGATTTTAAAAGTAGAGTTAAGCCCCCTTGATCGTGATTCAACGGTTTGTATATTTATATGATTATACAAAACCTAGTCCTCTCAGCCTCTGTGTATAATTTTCTGGAGTACCAGATACATGCATTAACAATGCTCAGACCAAATTCGCATATTTTTAAATTATCGATAATTAGCCGAGTCTATGGTCATTTGAATAAGGCTATTTTGAATTAATTATTTTCCCGTTGAACGTTCTGATGAGAGAGAGAGAGAGAGAGAGAGAGAGAGAGAGAGAGAGAGAAATGGGGTTAAACGTCCACTCGACCCAAACTAGGTCGTTTCGGGACCCACGTATGGTTTAATTTTATTTCAACAGTTCGCTGGTGCGTAGGGGTCTTTAGCAGTGGGAGGAAACCAGAGGACCCGGAGAAAACCCACGAGGTTGGACAGGCTACCATACTCCTTGTCACGTACAGCCGGAGAATCGAAACCACGCCAGTTGACTCAATGACAGGCCTTATGCTAACCATGCTAACCATACGGGTGAAAACTACCAGTAAACATAAAGAAATGCGAATACTTTGAGAACCGAAGAACAAATTACAAATGTGTTACTCTTTACGAGAGAAATGATTTATGAAAATATCTATATTTGTCTAGGCGAAATAATTTGCAAAATGTGTACATGTCTTAGGTAATTTTTTTTAACTTTATTATAATAAAAAAAAAATATAACTCATTGTAACGTTTTATAATTTGTTATGTATGGTTTTGAAACATTTACATTTTTACTTACATATTTTGAGACTACGGCAAGTTTGAAATTAGTATGTCTTCAAGTCATATACTTACGCCAATTTGAAAATATTCCATCTTAATTCAAGGTTCTTTCTTGAGAGAGAGAGCGAGAGAGAGAGAGAGAGAGAGAGAGAGAGAGAGAGAGGTGGTGTTTAACGTCCACTCGACACAAACGGGACTAACATGGTACATTTTTTTCATTTCAATAATTCGCTTGCACGTAGGGGTCTTTAGCCGTGGGAGGAAACCGGAGCACCCGGAGAAAACTCACGAGGTTGGACAGGCGATCCTACTCCTTGTCACGTCTAACCGGGAAATCGAAACCCCGCCAGTTGATTCAATGACAGACCGTATGATACAGCGCGCACCTGCTAACCATTCGGCCATCAACCCCCCACGTTTTAATGACTTTAAAATAAAATTACGAATTATATATAGAAAGAGGAATGGGGTTTAACGGCCACTCGACACAAACTAGGTCATTTCAGGACTAACATATGATTCAATTTCATTTCAATAATTCGCTTGCGCGTAGGGGTCTTTAGCCGTGGGAGGAAACCGGAGCACCAGGAGAAAACTCACGAGGTTGGACAGGCGATCCTACTCCTTGTCACGTCTAACCGGGAAATCGAAACCCCGCCAGTTGATTCAATGACAGACCGTATGATACAGCGCGCACCTGCTAACCATTCGGCCATCAACCCCCACGTTTTAATGACTTTAAAATAAAATTACGAATTATATATAGAGAGAGGAATGGGGTTTAACGTCCACTCGACACAAACTAGGTCATTTCAGGACTAACATATGATTCCATTTCATTTCAATGATTCGCTTGCGCTTTGGGGTCTTTAGCAGTGGGAGGAAACCGGGGGACCCGGAGAAAACCCACGAGGTTGGACAGGCGACCCTACTCCTTGTCACGTCCAACCGGGGAATCGAAAGCACACCAGCTGACCTAATGACAGACCTTATGATTCAGCGCGCACGTGCTAACCATTCGGCCATCCACCCCGACGAATTATATTATTCATAAAGACTGTTGAAGTGTTTAATAGAGTACCATTACACGTCAATACACGAATGAACCCCGTCTTTTCCTTGTGTCAGCCCTTCTATTCCACACTACACCACTGACAAGGGAAACCAGTATAGATAATCCGAGGAATTTTCTTGGCCACGTGTAAAATGTACAAGAGTCACTGTACGGATGTATGAAAATTATGTGCTACCCAGAATTTATATCCTTAGTTGTAAAACAATCCATAGATTGTACGTACATATTGCCGTATACACAGTCTTGGGTTGATAAGGGTTAACGTAATCAACCGAATTTCAAACCAAAGGGGTTTAAATCTAGAAATAATTGAAAACCTAATACAGCATTCTCGGTCAGCGCCGATTCATTGTTTTGAATTTCGTCTTAAATTGCATATGGCTAAACCTTGAATGAAATCAGCATACCGTAGTTTCAGTATCAGGCGTCAACACAAATTGTGAGTAGCTGCTGAATGTATAGTTCCTCATAAAACACCAATATTATTTGAGT